CCGGTCCCGGCGGCCTCGCCTCTGCCCCTGACCTTAGGAAAAGCCCCAGCTCAGGCCCGCGGCCCGCAGTGTGGGCCAGGCGCACACCCAGACGTCGCGCTCAGTTCCCGCCCTCGGCTCCTTAGCCCCGCCTCCTCACCACAGCCTCCTTCAGGCCCCGCCTCCTCACCAACAGCCTCACTCAGGCCCCGCCTCCTCATCCACAGCCTCCCTCAGGCCCCGCCTCCTTACCAACAGCTCCACTCAGGCCCCGCCTCCTCACCAACAGCTTCCCTCAGGCCCCGCCTCTTCTCTCACAACCCCCATTCAGGCTCCGCCTACTCTCCCACAGCCTCCCTCAGGCCCCGCCTCCTCACCAACAGCCCCACTCAGGCCCCGCCTCCTCACCCACAGCCTCCTTAGGCCCCGCCTCCCTCAGGTCCTGCCTCCCTAGGCCCTGCCTCCTCTCTCACACCCTGCTCTTCTCATTTATGCTCTTTCAGGCCACACCTTCTGTTCCAGGAACAGGAGAGACTCTGAGTTGGGTCCAGCCTTGTCTCCTTGCACAGCCCAGTGGCAGTCAGGCAGTCAGGCTCGGGAGTGTTTCGTTGTCAATGCTGTTGCACTTGCAGCTCAGCTGGGCTCAAAACCCATGGGGACAGACCCCACTCATCCCAGGACGCCATCCTTGTCCCCACCCAAAGCACACACATGTTCTTAAAACTCCTAGTTCATCAGCGTGCTAGCCATTCTCACGAGAGATTTTCTTCATAGATTTTTGGTAAAACATTCCTGGAAGGCCTTGCCCTGTTAAAACCTGTACATCACTAACAGTAGTTGTTTAATTAGGGTATATCCGTGCATTTTGTGAAATTGGGACATATCCACGCATAGTTGTGTGTACATCTATCTTTCTATCTTTTTACCCCGTTATTTCCTAACGCATCATTATTAGGTCTCAGAAAGTACAAGTCCTCCGGCCTTCTCCTGCCTCCCTTCAGCTGCTCTTTTTCCTCCCTAGTGACCACAGAAACTAGGAGTTCTCTTCAGATTATAGGCGCTCTGATCTTACCCCACACAGACAACCTGGATGGAGCTGGTCAGTGAGGAAGCCTCTGACCCGCCTTGTAGAACACTGGATTACACAACCCCCACCTCAGAGGGACTTCAGTCCCTCATCCAGGAAGATGAGTGCTGCAAGTGTGCTGGAATCAAAAATCCAGACAAGCCTTGCTGGGTTCCCCACTCGGTCCATCAGCATTGGATCAGACCCTTTTTTGTCCAATCATTTTGCATGTGATCATCCATCCTTCAATCATACCTCATCAATGAATGGTCTTAAAGAAAAAAAAAAAACTCCAAAGGACAGGTTTCTACAGTGTTTGAGGGGGCTTCCAGGAAGGTAAACAAAGTCACCCCTGTGCTTGGAGGATGGTGTACCTTTCCTCCACAGGGATGGATGGAGTGTCTTGTTCTCAACTTTCTTCAAGTCCTCACCCCACTTATGTCTTCAACTGGATGTCTTCCCTGAAAAACAAAACAGTGAGGGTAAGTACTATGTTAACTCCAAGTTCTGTGAGCCACTTAGCAAATTAGCTGAACTTGTGGACAGGAACATGGGAATGCTTTGTAGCCTGGTTTGTGGCTGGGTCTGGAGTTGGGGCTGTCTTGGGGATTGAACTGTCAACCTATGAGTTCCAGTGTGATCACCATGCAGAACATGTCAGAACTTAGAGGACACCTAGCTTGTGTCCATGACAAAATGACTTGCTTGGTGCTGGAGACAGACCCCATACCTCCTGATACTCCACAACCAATGTGTGCTGAATGTAGAGAGGGAGAGTGAGCTGTTTCCCTTTACACAATCAATAGGTGTGTAAAATTTATATGTTAAGTTTCTCAGCCTCATACCCAGTAAGGGGTAGTTTTCTTTTCTGTGTATAATGCTGATAAATATAATAGAAGAAATGCTATGGACATTTATTGGCTTTGAAAAACAGTGAAGAAAATGTAATGCTTTTCTTAACCAAGTGTGACAATAGATACCTCCAATTAATAGTGCTCATTCACAGACCTGTGAGGTGGCTCAGCTAGTAAAATCAATCACCCTGAAAACCAGATCCCCCACTGGAAGGAGACAAACAACTCCTGAAAAGCTGTCTTCCGACCTCCACATGCATGAATGCACGCGCGCGCGCGCGCGCGCGCACACACACACACACACACACACACACAGAGTAAAATGTAAAAATCTAAGATAAATAATACATATTCACTAGCCTGAGGTTTCTTTTTTAATTTTCATTGTACTCTACTATTTGTTTTATGTCAAGATTGTTGTTAGCATCCTCTCAATGCACTGGATAACATTCCAGCTTTTAAAAAATGTTCCTAGATCATGTTAGACGTCATGGACAATATTGTCTGGATTTTCAAAAATTTGATTGTGCTTTTCAGTAGTGCTAATTGATCCTAGGACTACTGGTGGTGATAATTCCTTAGTAATATTTTATATTTATTTATTTATTTATTTATTCATTCATGTTTATAAGATTTTTGACTCTAGTTTTGGAAATTTCATTTTTAAGACTACATTTTTTAAACCAATTTTATTTTTTTTAAAAAATTTATTATGTACACAGTGTTCTGTCTGCATGTATGTCTGCAGGCCAGAAGAGGGCACAAGATTTCATTAGAGATGGTTTTGAGCCACCTTGTGGTTTCTGGGAATTGAACTCAGGACCTTTGGAAGCGCAGGCAGTGCTCTTAACCACTGAGCCATCTCTCCAGCCCCTAAGACTACGTTTTTGTCCATCAGAGTTAAAATGATTAAGATATGTCCCACCTCTCCTCTCCTCTCCTCCCCTCCTTTTCTTCTTTCTTCCTCCCCCATCTCCACTTTCATAGCTCAGGTTTGCCTGAAAAATGCTAAATGGTGGAGGACAACTTCTTGCCTCCACTTCCCAAGTTCTAGATCGAAGATGTAGAACCTGGGTTCCTCTGGCTTCTTAGATTAGGTTTTCAAAATTTAGATTCAATTTGGGCACTTTATTATATGTTCTTATCTCTCCTTCCAGCAATATTTGGGTTTATCTGCCTAATCTACTAGGCAATTATTAGGTTGTGCATTGATTTTTATTTATTTTGCTTGCTTTGTTTACCTGTTGTAAGGAGCATGTAAATGGATAGGCAGAAGTCTGGCTGGAAGGAAATTAGGAAAGTGAACATAGGCCCATTACCCGACTACTAGAGATAAGAATGAAGGAGAGTGTGCATGTCTTGTCTGGTAAGCAAGGTATTTAAGGACCAGCTCCGGACAGAGAAGCAGAGCCCATCATGACTGACTGAAGGACACACCCTGAATGGAACTCTTCTCCATCTAAGAAGCCAGTCCACTAAGCTGAGAGCCGCCCTATATGATACCAGACACAGAACGCTGGAAACCTCCGAGACCTCGGTGGACTCGATAATTGAATCCAAAGGAATCTTAAGACATCGTGAGCTGTGGCCCTGCACTGGACAGGTACCCTGGTTGTGAGCCTAGTGGCTATGGTCCCTAGGACTTTGCTTCTGCTTGTGTATATTGCTCTGATATAAGTGTGAAGTAAAATATACACTCAAAACCAACTTGCTGAGTCTGTCATTCCTCCCGGGTTAAAACCTGGTAAGTGCTCGTGACTCTGCTCCTATCTTTTATACCTGGGATTAAAGGCATGTGATACCAAGTGCAGAGATTGTCTTTGTGTGAGCTGTTTCTCTTAGCACTCCATCAATTTTGTGTAGTCCGTGTAGCCTTGAACTAACAGAGATCTGTCTACCTCTACCTCCCAAGTGGTGGGATTAAACGTACCACCACCGCCTGGTTTCTATAGCTTGTGGCTGTCTTTGCTTTCTGAATCCTCAGGCAAGCTTTAATAAATCATAAATAATATATCACCACAACAGCAGACAGTCAAGCCTCTGATAGAACACTCTTGCTCATTGCCTGAAGTCGACCATGAGTAGTTTTTGATCCATATTTAGTGACATAGGTCATCCCAGAAACAGGTGTTATGTATGTGTAAGATGGGTAACAGTCGATCTGGAGAAACAGTGTTCAAAGTATGTGTTCCAACCTTACAGTTTAAAATTAAAAACTCATAAATCCTGGGAGTTGGGGAAAAATTCTTCAAATAATCTTTTTAATCGGTGTTGTGCTATTTCCTTTGACACAGTAGCTTCTTAACATAGCAAAAACGAATTACTAGAAGCAAACTGTCAGAAAATTCCTTACAAAATTTGCAATCAAACAATCCTGCCAAGATGGGTTATTCTAAAGGGCAGATGGGAAGCTGCACTTAACTACAGTGAACAGGAGAGGGCGCTGCAGGAAGACTTTTAAATATATCAACCCTACTTAAGTAGCAGAGATTTCTGATATGCTCTGACATAAACGCTAACATTCTTTTATTTCCTGCTAACCGCTCTCCTGCCCTATGATGGTTGCAATTCACCCACTCCTTCACCTTGTTTGGCTGTAGTGATGTCTTCCTTACGCTATCCCTGCATAAAACCCAGGAAAAATACCATTTCCCCTGGTTCTCTGAGATGTGTACAGTGCCACTGCCCTGTCACAGTGACATGATGCTACTAACATGCCAAAGGTCATTTGTCACTGCCAGTTCTGCCGTTAGGGTATGCATTGACTGCAAAACATGTTATCACCACTGCTGTTGAGAAATAGTTTTTCTGATGTCAATTCACTTTTCAACACAAATAAAGTTCTTTAATCTTACTTTGAACAAGCCTCAAAATATGTCTGGTCTTGCCTGTAATCTAGAAGGAAGATGTATTACAATCAAGTTTGGATCTGAATACAAGTTAGGGCAGTTGTATTTGCTAGTCTCTGCAAAGGGAGGAGATGGAGGGTACCTGTGTAGGTCTGAGATATTCTGTGGTTGGAGCTTGCTCATGCTGGTCAAGATGAGTATTATTGCCACAG